TTCCCCAGGAACTAGGAACTTTGGGCTGGTACTCCGTGTGTTTACACTGCAGGAACCAGGGTCTAAATGAAGTTCCGGGTAAAAATTTCCCCCCCAGAAAGTCCCTGCTGGCGAGGTAGTACTTTTTCAGAGTTCAGGAACTTTCGGGGTGGGACTTGTGCGCTGAACATGCTGATTGGTTATTTTACCTTGTTCTCTCTGCCGGATGGTGCGCGTTCGTCCCATCCATCTCACGGTCATGTCCGCTATAGCTGATAACAAACGTTGTCTACTTTTATAGCATTACGAGCTTTCTGAAATGAATACGCTTTGGTATTAGTGTTCGTCTCTTTTCTGCCGTTTTGTTAATTACCTCGTTAGTAAACCAATAGATCGCACACAAAAACAGCACAGCTTGAATCTCCTCAATACTTAAAACTCAAAACAAGTACGCGCAGACTGGGAGGAGCAGTCGCACGCAGTTCAACGTCACCAGACTAATCTTCCCGGTACTTTAGTCCACGGTGTAAACGCAGTGAGCAACCATTCTGGGGCAAAAAAAGTTCCTATGAAAAAAGTTCCTGGGACAAATAGTTCCTGGTAATTGCGGTGGAAACGCGGCTTAAATGAATAAATATGCAGCTATAATGCACGTAGGTGATTTTGAATTAATAAATGTCGATATACAATGGTTAGCTACATACTGTTGAAACTAACCGTGGTGTTGATATATTTTTTAATGAGATACTGCCGACTCTATAGAACAATGGCAAGGAAAACTAACTTTATCGCGCTCCGAGAGCCGTCTGGTGGTCGGGATCATTTCCGTTGTGTTCCGGCTTTATTTCGTTGTGTTGTGGCTTATTTCTGTTGTTTTGTGGCTTATTTCCGATGTGTTGTGGCTTATTTCCGTTGTGTTGTGGCTTATTTCCGATGTGTTGTGGCTTATTTCCGTTGTGTTGTGGCTTATTTCTTTGTGTTGTGGCTTATTTCGTTGTGTTGTGGCTTATTTCCGTTGTGTTGTGGCTTATTTCTTTGTGTTGTGGCTTATTTCGTTGTGTTGTGGCTTATTTCCGATGAGTTGTGGCTTATTTCCGTTGTGTTGTGGCTTATTTCCGATGTGTTGTGGCTTATTTCCGTTGTGTTGTAGCTTATTTCCGTTGTGATGTGGCTTATTTCTTTGTGTTGTGGCTTATTTCGTTGTGTTGTGGCTTATTTCCGTTGTGTTGTGGCTTATTTCTTTGTGTTGTGGCTTATTTCGTTGTGGCTTATTTCCGTTGTGTTGTAGCTTATTTCCGTTGTGATGTGGCTTATTTCCGTTGTGTTGTGGCTTATTTCCGATGTGTTGTGGCTTATTTCCGTTGTGTTGTAGCTTATTTCCGTTGTGATGTGGCTTATTTCCGTTGTGTTGTACATTTTCAGTTGTATTGTGGCTTAATTTCGTTGTGTTGTGAACTTATGTTTGCTTTTTAATTTTCGTTGTGTTGTGCACTACTGGGCCTCCATAATAATGAAATGAAAAATGCAAAAGAGAGTAGGTCTGCTATTTAGCAAATCAGAAATGCTTTGCCTGTCAATCATTTTAAACATTATATAGTCACGTGGTGAAGGTTTGACTGCCTTTGTGAAAAAGAAGTGCACTTAACTGTAATAAATGTTCACTTATAGTGCACATCAAATCTTAAAAGTATATAGATATGCAGTTAATAAAAGATTAATTAAATTAAAGTCCACTTAAGTTTACTTAAAGAGAGTACACATTCATGACTAAGAGAACTCTTTTAAAAATTGCACCTTGTGATATATAATTAAAAGGTTTATTTAAAGTACATTTGAATCATGCATTTAAGAAGTACAGTATACTTAGTTTGATGTGTTAATAACATGCATCACAATGTAAAGTAACTGATTATTATTTAACTTGTGCATTATTATTTGATATACATTTAAAGTTAATATATTTTAAAATGCACTAAACTTCATCCTTACAAATGTGTAATTACTAATATATTTAAATACATGAAATAAATTAATATAATTGAAATACAATGGAAGCATATCATCTACCATTCGGCAGTACACTTTAACCACTTTAACTTAACAAAAAGATAATAATGAGATTACATACAGTATAAAGATGTACTTAAGTCTGCTTAAGTAGGTCAAACAAATAAACGCTCAGTTTATAATAAGTTGGCCTACTTTAAAAGTGTGCTAAAGTGCATTTGTTTTTGACATAGGTGGTTAGTGTTAGCCTCTGCTGGTAGATTTCATAAGTACACCACATGGTTCTAAAAATTGTATTTTATATTTTTAAACTTTTATTTCTTGCACCATCTGAGCAACTGCTATTGAGATGAATGGGAATGTTCATATTATCCAGGTTTTTATAGACCTCCTTGGTTTTAATTTGCTGACATGGAGCACAGGGTTTTGAAAATATGTTTGTTGTTAGCAAAATGTTGAAAGTTAGCAAACATCAGAAATTTGTACTTCCTTTAGCTTGTCTTAAAATGGCGTATCACTAACTCCACCTGCTACACACTGCCTCCCAAATCATGTTATCTGCAGGAAACAGCAATAATGCCTTGCTACTGAGAAATGCAATAAAAGTTAGTGGTTCGAACTAAGTGCTGCTAGCCCTTTTTTCCTCTACCTGCAACAGCATTAGCAGGTTTGCTAGTCTTAAATTTTTTTTTTTAAATAGGCAGCCCAAAAGAATTCCTCCACTCACTTGAGTTTATTTTCTGGTGAAAGATTTCTGTGGGACATAATTGTGTTAGTCTTTGAGACCCAAACAATGTGGATACTTGATTGTCTTTTTGTTGTACACAGGATGTGCTAAGCATGTGCAGCTAAGTGTTATTGCAACTCCGCAGTTCATGTAAATAAAGCCAGAGAGGCAGAACCTGCAGTTATTGTGTTCTTTGAAGATCGAGAGATTATGAGACATTAAAATGTGCCATATTCAAGTACCCCGTGTACGCATGAAAGGTTGATGGATCTCTCTCTACCAGTTAACAGGAGCGAGCGTGCAGCAACGGGAAGCGGTGATCAATCGCAGGCAGCCTCTCAGAGTGCATTTATTAACATCTCCCTCGCAAACCAAATTAATCCAGCAGTAATGTGGATTAATGGGCCTGTGCGCACAAAGCCACAGACAGATTGGGCCTCCGGTAAGCGCAGCCACTGCAGTGCCGAGTATTAACTTCACAAACGGCTTCCTTTGTTTCCTGTTTCTGTCGTATGTGTTAAGATCCCATTACTGTGTTTTTGCGGAGTTGAAGAGAGACAGGTGTCCTGCGAAGACAAAGGCTGAAATACTTTAAACAGCTTAGAAGCGGATTCACTGTTGTTATGACTCCTTAGCACTGCTGTGGTTTATTAGCCACAGCTAGCATTGTAGCATTTGCGTGTGTGTGTGTGTGTGTGTGTGTGTGTGTCTGTGTGTGTGGTCCAGGTAACCCTTAAAAACTATGGATAAAAAAACTGAAATATAAACAATTAGGAAACACTTTACAATAAGGTTCCATTTGTTAACATTAGTTAATTCATGTTAGCATGAATGGAAAATACTTCTACTCTTCTTCTAATCTTAGTTAATGTTAATTTCAACATTTACCAATACATTATTCAAATAAAAATGTATATCTGTTCATATTAATTAATGGACCCGAGTCACCTGACCTAACATGAACTAACTATGAACAGTTAGCCTATATTTTTATTAACTAATGTTCACAAACTACTGTTACAAATGCATTGCTCGTTGTTAGTTAATGTTAGTTAATCCATTAACTAACGTTAACTAATGGGACCTTATTGCGAAGTATTAAAAACAATAAAAAATGAACTAATAAAAATATTCTCTCTCTCTCTCTCTCTCTGATTATTTGGATCAATTGATTCAGCTTATCATTTAATTAATGGAATTCATTTTAATTTGATTGTCAGTCCTGTTATCAGTTGTTATCAATGATTAATCAGTTATGATTAATCATTTAATAAATTTAGCTTTGTATAAAACAATCAAAGTCTGTTTCATGTGCTCATTTAGATAGTTGAATGGTTGAATGGCACTATCTATATGCAACATTGCCTTGGTATTTGACAAAGATGGATCTATTTTCTAATTTTTCATAGGATGTGTGGCTTGTGTAGTTTAGAGATCATGCTTCTCTTCTTTTAGAGCTTTTAACAAAACCCTTCCTCACTACGGTTGTACATGTACATCATTACAAACAGATATTAAACAGCATTAAAAAGACCAAGTAATTTCCTAAAACACAGTGTCTATACAGCATTTGAGTGATTGAGTTCCAGAAGTGTAAGACCTACAGCGACCCAAGCAGAGAGGCATGGGTTTCTATGGGACTTGCTCATTAAATGCTCATTAATGCTGCTAAATTGTATCTGCCAAATCAAATAAAACGAGCACTGAGACGGACTTGCCGGGAAATTTTATTAATCTATTAGGGATAGCTGATATAATCCCTGTTCACTTCCAAAATAGTTATCTGGTATTTTATGAAATGGGGTGAAATAATGGAACATGGATTAAAGGCTAATTGAGGTGTAATGTAGAGGTTGTCTTTCAGATATATATAGCCTATGTAAAAAAAGCCTCACATCATTAAACTAATTAATATCTATGAGCTTAATAAAAAGATGCAAGACCAGTATAACTACACTGACTGTGTGTGTGTGTGTGTATTACACACACACACACACACACACACACACACACACACACAAACTGATACATTTTATTTGATGAATACAAGGTTCAAAAGAACTTGCTGAGTTAAACTGTTAATTTCTTTAAAAAAAAAAAAATCTTACTGACTTTGGAATGGGTTGAAATCTCTGACTGACTTTTTATTAGACTTTTGTTTGAAGAATTCGTCAATGTTGCCTAGGAAAAGCAACTGATTTCTCAGTTTTCTCATTTGTGAATATTTCCATGAGTGTGTGTTTGTGTGTGTGTGCCCGTGTTGTTATATTTAAACACGTTTTTTTGTAGGAGAGGAAACAGAAGTTTGCTTTCCGGTGCTCTCCACTCAGCTCCACAGACTGAGCCTCTAATTAAAGTGATTTGTGACTCATTTGCAGTATTACAGTTTACAGATGGAAGCGTCTTGATCTGCCAAAGCTTCCTTTCAGCACAGAGCGATCCACTGAACAAGGATAGAGAGAGAAGACAAAGAACTAGATTTGTACATTTTCAAGGTGAGTGGGGTTTGCTCATGTAAAACTGGTTGCCAGGGTATCGCTATGCGGTTGCTAGGGTGTTCTGAGCGCTCGCTAGTTAGTAGCCTCAACTATTAGCAATAAGTGAATCTTTGTGGAAAGCATGAAAAAGCACACTTTTAAGAAGAGTAGTTATAAGGAAAATAATATAGGCTTTAAAATAATGTTTAAGTGCAGATTGAAAGTAATGTTTTTGGTACTTAATTTCATGTTATTTATAATTAAATGAAAATGCACTGTTTTAAATGTATATTAAATATTAGTTGAACAAAAATGCTTTTTTGACTCATTTAAGTAGGACTTACTTAATTAGGACTGTCATGTTTTTTTTTTTTTTTGGTGATCATGTCTTTTATTTTGAAATTCTTAGTCATGTTTCCTGCTTCCTGTTTGTCATGTGCTTCCCTTTTTCCTTATGTTAGCCTGTCATGTGCTCCCCCTGTGTGTCTTGTTCTGATTGGTTGTTCAGGTCATGTGTTTCTCAGTTCTATTTTCTCATTGGTTCATTGTTTGATTGTTCTCAGGGGTTCTTTGTTAGTCATTAGCCCTCATGTCTCATTATTTCCTTTGTTGTGTATTGAAGTATGTAAGCCTTCCTTGTTTCAGGCCTTTTCGTAGTCAAGTTTTGTTCATGGTTTGTTTCATGTTTTGGAGTTTGTTTATACTTTTGGATTTTATTTACACTGTAAATAAACTGCACTTGGGTTTTCAACAACTTGCCTCAGTGGACTATGTTAGAACTTAAGTACATCTTGTATTGTATTTTCATAATTACTTCTAATGTCTTTGAAATAAGGTTAAAGTGTTCTGCTGAATGACCTGGCAATAATTTAGGTTGAACTAAAATATACTTTAATGTCATTTCTATTGAAATATTGAATGTAAAATCAAATTGAACAGTTCAAATTATAATCAAGTTCTTTACATGTATGTGCACTTCTTTAAAGAGTTACAAAAGATTATTAAAACAACTCTTTACAATGTACTTTTAAGTAAAACTTTTAATTTGACATTATTACAAAGTGTATTTTTTAGAAGTGTGTTATAAGAAACTGTCATGAATGTGCACTCTCTTCAAATGAAACTGTTTAATGAAATAAAAGGCCACTAAGTGTACTTAATGTACTTTTAAGATTTGAAGTACACTACAGGTGCACACTCAAAACAATGAAGTACACTTTTTGACAAGGGCATGACTAAGAAGAAATTACTAACACAAAAGGCACAGCACAAGAGATACAAGGAAATCATAGAAACAGCATGTAAACGAAATGCCATTCGCTGTCGAAATCATTTTCTTTCCATTAGAAACCCCCCAGGGTCGGCCTCTCCACTCAAGAGTGCACGCAGGCACTCTAACCTACTATCTACACCACATACGTGCACAGTCTCAGTGAGGTGAAGAGAGCAGACGTGAGAGAACGACACTTTACGGGCAGCCACATCCTGAGGAAGAGAAAGCAACATGCTCAGCGCAGGCCATGAGAATGTCAGCCACTGGAAAGAGCTGGGCTCTCACACACACAAACCAGACACACCACGAGAGCAAAGGAAAGAGGTGGAGGTGCAGAAGAAAGGGAGTGATAAAATGAAAAGGTAGCAAACAGAGGCATGCTTCAAAGACCAGAGCGGAAGGGTGCAGATCGCTGCAGGGCAGACACATTATAGCCACCGTGACCAACCTCTCTCTCTCTCTCTCTCTCTCTCTCTCTCTCGGTTGTGAATGAGGTAAAATAACATACAGTGACAATGATACATTATACTACACCAATATAGAATTGTTCGAACCATTGGTACATTTGCTCAAAGGCTCAATTAGCCTGCTTGCTCTCATTATGACTGAAGCCATTTGTCTGATAAGGGGGTGGAAACTTGAGCAAACAATGTTCCCTTCTCAATCGGGTCATACAGCACTACTGAAAACCTATACGGTATGAAATACGGCTAAAACATGAGGCGTATCGGTGATCGCTCTGGGAATAGTGAACATTGTGATACCAACTGGTTATTGTATTAAAAGTTCGCTCCACCTGAAGGCCCCTAGAAGCAAAAATGAGATTAAAAAGGTTTTGAGTGTAGTAATGTTGTCTAAACTTAAGCAGGCTTGGTTCAATGTTCTTCTTGCATTATTTGTTTTAAATTACAGTACATTGAAATTTTACAGAGTATTGGCAAGATTTTGTGTTGTTGACTGGAATATCACAAGTCATAAGCCATTAAAATCTTAAAGTTACTCTCATCATAACTGCATATTTTAATCAGGCTGTGAACAGAAAACTTACTTTTGAATAATGTTTGTTAGCTCCTTTAGGATAATTAGCATGTATTTAGCATGTTACTGGATGTCTTCCTGCTGTACAAGACAATTCTACAGTATTGTAGTAAGTTTATTTTTATATATTTGAAAATCAGAGATCATAATAGTTATTTTTCAAAAAATGTTTTATATAATAATAACACAAATAATCAAATAACATCTTCCTAAATATTTATGAAAATCAGGAATAATAGTTTTATTTCAAGACAAAAACTTAACAAAACAATACAAACAATAACAAAACAATATAGCAAAAAGCATGCATAATTATGGAAAAGAGATGATTACAAAACACTAACATTTTTTACAACGTTTTTAATGTTTGTAATTATCTTTTTCTAAGTTTGTAGTAATCTCTCGAAATATATTTGCCACACTGTGAGATTTGTCAACTTTTTGATCCTAATTGGTATGCCTCATTTTGTTATGCAAGTTATCTGTTGCTAAATATGACAATAAACGTGACATTTCAAAGTAAAATTAAGAAAAGCTATAATCTACTGTATAACAATGTATAGTTTTCTGTGAGGAAACCTCTGAAGCTGATCTCCTGACCGACTTCTCCAGTCCAGGCCTTGCGATGCAGTTAATGGAAACCAGACCCTTCTCGTCCATCTTCCACCACTGACACCTTGTAACACTCTCTGGAGGGGTGCGTGTGTGCACACGTTCACACCCATATGGTCCGGCAGGGGAGCTGTGGTCAGGAGAGTCGACCCATTTTCTGACTTTCTGCAGAGTCTGCAGGCTGTTGGCTTCTTTAGAGCAAGGGTAGACGGGGCCCTCGGCCATATGGGCAGCCCCCTGTTTACCCAGTGGACCGCCCCATGGTGTGACAGTGAGCTATGAAGGTACTCTCAGCACCACATCTGCACATGAATCAGGGGTTACCCTGAATCTGAATGCAGCACAAGAAAGCCTCACTATATTGATCATACCTTTGGGATATGTTCTAAACCACTAATTTCAAAATGTTACGCGTAACTCGTCCTGAACCATTACAATAACAAGTTATTGAACTAATGGCTTTCACCTGGAAAACAATAAAATGGAGACTGAAGGAGGGACCTGAATCATATCTAGATACCATGATTTCAAAACAACAATCTTTTTTTTTTCTTAGTTTCACTTTCAAGCTTTTTGTTTTTGAGTGATAATTTTTCAGATTCTCTGTGTTGTTTTTTATTAGTTGTTGCTTTTCATATATATTATATATAGTGTCCTGTGCCCTGTATTTACATTACCATTCAAATGTTTGGGGTCAGTAAGATTTATTTAAATGTTTAAATGTCTCTTGTGCTCACCAAAGCTGCATTTACATTTTTAAACAGTTTTGTAATGTTCAGCCAGAGTTTGAGTTTTCATGGCCTATAGTTGGCATGCTCCTGTTTTTCCTTTGTCTTTGGGGCCATTTACACAACATCATTTTTAACTAAAACCTTTTATGCGTTTTGGCGGTTCATTAACACGGCAACGCCGTTTTGGTGGCCTGAAAACTTTTGAAAACAAGATCCAAAGTGCAAGTTTTGAAAATGATACCGTTATTGTTTCCGTATAAACTACAAAAACGCAAATTTGTGAAAACGCTGAGTGTTCAGTATATAGGGACGTGGTCATAGGTGGAGCGTGGTTTAGCCACGTTTCAAAAATTAACGGGACTTGGGCCAAAAATGCACCTGCACCTTTAAACTAAATCTAGTAATAAAATGAAAATGTCGATTGCGGCATTAAATTTAGATCCGCTCATGTTGCAGCACACTTTTTACGCGTTTTACAGTGTTGCGCACTATAACCAAACACACATGACTCCGTTGAGCTTATGAATGCAATGGCCAATCAGAGGCATTAAGATTAGTAATTGCTGAAACGCTGGAGTTGTGTTCAGTGCGTGAGCTGAACTCTGAATTCTGACTGAATTCTGCTCTCTTGCAAATACTCTCATCATAAACGATGATAAACAGATTTAGTGGTTGTACTCTTGAGAGCGTTGAAACTAATATAAATAGTTATTTTCTATTTACAACGTATTTTTGCAGCGTTGAGCAATGTAGCCAATCACAAACATATTTGATGATTTCTTGAACGCAATGGCCAATCAGATTTAAGTTCGAATCCCCTCACCACTCAAAACGCCAGAGTTTTTGTCCAGCGCTGAGATCTGCACACTCAATTCCTCTCGTTATAATTTAACTGTAACAAAAAAAGTGTAGGCTAAATAAGATATTTATTGTACAGTCAGCTTGTGAGATCGCAATTAATTAAGATGAGTGATTGACAGCCTCGTGATTATGAAGCGAAGGCTTTTATGCATGCTTTCTAGGTGATAATCTATTCAGAATTTGAAGAATTTGTTTTTCAGCTTTAGGCAAGGCAATGGTTAGGCTATTTATTATTCGAACTGGCTGCCCTTCCAAATCATGCTTATGCTTGCCTGTTCAAATTATAGTGGTTTGTAAACATAACCATTTTAATAATGCTGGGACGTGTAGGTTGTTGATAGGCGACACGTAACTATTTCACCCTCCGCCTATGCACGTCGTGTTTCTTTTCAAATTGACATCGCCAACTACTGGCCTGTCAGCATAATACAGTCGTTGTTGTGGAGCCGTGTGAACGAGGATCATTTTGACAACGTTGTCATCTGTATGTGAAAAACGCAAAGGAAACACTTTTCCGTTTCTAGTAAACACCCACCCTTTTCCTTTGTTCCAGTGTCTAGTTGGTTTCCATGGTTTCTGATTGTTAATTGATCCATTTCACCTGTGTCTAGTTAATTTAGCTAATCTTTGTGTGTTTATTTGTTCTTTCAGTTCATTGTCTGGTATTATCTTTGTGTTATTTCCGCAGGAGCTTTTTGACCAAGCAACAATCAGGCAGCCTAAGTCATATCTGACAACTCTCATGTGTTGTTTTCAGAGTTTGAGTTACTGAACTCAGGAAAGAGGTACAGGGTTCCCCTGTGCAAATACAATAGGTATAAGCGCTAATTTGTTTCTCTTTCAATTAAGCTCATAAATGATCAGCGATGAACATGTGACCATGAATTTAATGTAATGTATTGTATATCTGTAATTGAATGTTATGTAGGGACATGATATGATGCTACTTTTGTACAAGCAGACTTTAGAAAATGGTGAATTGCAATTTACACAGCTCTTTGAGTAGCCTTAATGTTTTATGTACTTTTTGTCTTTTAACTGTTTTTAACCATGTATATACTGTATATCTGTGATATCTGTGATTGAATATTATGTATGGACATGATATGATATTACTTTTGCACAAGCAGATTTTAGAAAATAGTGATTTGCTATTTGCACAGCTCTTTGTGCAGCCTTAATGTTTTATGTACTTTTGTCTTTTGTGTTTGTACAATGTTTTAACACTGTACCTCTGTTCTGTCTTGTTGTAATCTGTTTGTAGCAATCTCTTTATATCCAAAACTAATTTCTCCTCGGGGAGACAAATAAAGATACTTTGACTTTGACTTATTTGTTATTTTAAATATTTAAAGAGGCATTTTGAAAAGTAGAAAATTAAAAATGGGTGTAATTTTACATCTATGGAAAAAACAAAGAGCGTGTGAGAGAGTAATGGAAACAGAGAGAGGGATTCTGGGAGGAGAAGGAGCAGACATGAGGGTTGTGTTTACCTCTGTCCTCACGGGGCCTCTGCTATGTGCTCTCTCTCTCTCTGGGAGCCACGAGGATTTCAGGGAGTTCTAGAGAAAGGTTGGTGGGGGAAAACGGGATGAACAATGTTCACTCGTCCACTGCACTCTTTCAGCTGTGCTACCCCTGGCCTGTTTTGTTCGCCGGAGGCCGCTGTGAAACCCATTAAGAAATGGCAAGTCAGGCCCCAGTGAGACAACAACACAAACCCCTTACCCCCACACCAGCTCCTCTGTACCCCAAAACCCCTGGCAACAAAGACGAGGGCAGGAGGGGAGCGAAGCGAGGGAGAAAAGAGGAGGAGCACTGAGAAAGAGGAGTGCACGCTTCAGTGGCTCCCGCATTCAGGCGCCGTGGCCCCGCGCTGCGTGAATGCGGCCGAGTGTTTTCAGTTCCCCAGCACACTTTCACCTCGACGTGTCAGAATAAACCGTACAAATGAGCGCAGGAAAGTGACAGGCTGTGAAAGACATCCTGAAAAGAGGGAGAAAGGAAACAACAGCACAGAGGACAAAACTGGAACGAACATTTTCAAAATGTACCCAGAGGAAAAGTGTATCGCTCAAAGTTTGCTCTTTCAGAGCTCAGGAGACTTAATGGAGTACTAAATTATCTCTTTTTCTTTTTCTGAGAAGCACGAAATTCTCATTTGATCTCTTTTAATCTATCATTGCTATCACTGAAGTTAAAATATATCTCAATTGGATTTCTTTATATGTAAAATCTGGCATATTTAAGCACAGTTTGAGACATTGTTGAGATTTTCCTTCTAATATTTTGAAAGAAAAGTATCAGAACAGATGTATTTTTCACAGGAGAAATACCTGAGAAGCATGGAAAGGTAAAAGTCTCAATTGTTCTCCATTTTATCTAACTGACTAGGAGAAACAATTGAGATGTTAAATATATCTCATTTTTGACTGATAATGTGTGAAATCTCTAACTTTGCAAACTTGGGTGTCTTGAACGAAATGAGCACAGTTTGATATGTTGAGATCTCTTCTGATACTTAAATGGAGACAGTTTTTTTCTTATAAGAAATAGAATAAGAAAAGTCTCCATTTGATCTGCATATAATCTCATTTATGTCTAGGAACAATAGAGATGTTAAAGAGAACACTTTTGATTGCAAACATTGGTATCTCGGTATGATCTGAGACACTGCTGAGATCTCCTACTTTAAAGGAGAAATTGAAGTAGGAAATGTCTCAATTTTTCTTCACATAATCTTAGCCCAGGAGCAACAATTGAGATAAAATAGAGTTAAAATCTGTCTTTTGATTTCAAGCATTCTGGCAGAGTTTCAGACATTGTTGAGATCTCCTCTGAAACTGTAAGAGACACATCTCACACAGAGGTCTTTTCCACAGAATAATGAGATGGTAGTTGAAGATTGATAAACAGACATGGCATGGATAGAGGAATTATGACCAGACTCCTGTGAACATATGGCAGAGGACTGACAGAGGAAAATGACCACATGGAAATGGCCACATGTTTGTGCAGGCCTAATGGAGAACACATGCAATAGGCTACTTTAATGAGCCCAAACAAGAAGCATTTAGAGACAGCATGGAAGTGATCAGAGCTACACAGTGTTTGGTGGTCTGTGTGTGATACAGTGGCTGTATTAAAGGGTTTGTAAAGTGCCTACGACTCTTGAGGCTGAGAGAATGAGGAGTTAAAGACTCTCTGGGAGTCTCTCTGTCTCTCTCTCTTCTTCCCTAAATAGCAGGGCACTTATTTACGGCCCTGAGCTTCTGGAGATTTATGTTGTTTTGTTGCAGTCAGACTGGCGGTGTGGGACGTGTTTCAGCTGGCTCAGACAAATACACAGACTGCTTAGATTAAACACTGCTCATTGGAATATGACTCAGGCCCACCTATACACACACTAGCCACGGTGTGAAAAATTAAGAAATGCTGGCAAAATATAAACTTAAAAGCATTTAATTTTTACATCTAAAAGGTTACATTTAGTTTATATAATGACTGCAGAATCAAACTCTCAAAATCAGCCCAAAATCTATAT